CAGCGAAGGAATGTATTGACGCTCATGATGGCAGTGTACCAGAAAAATGCTTTGCGTTGCTCAATAATTTCTCCGACTGCAAGCGGTCGCTAGTGGACATGAGGAGTCGTTTTCGTGGCAGAAAGGGAGACCTATGATTTTTTTCTAGTCTTACATTCATAATTTTTCATGTTTTGAGATTGCTTATACTTGTCATGCATTCAGTTTGTTTTACTAATAAATTGTCAGGGTCTTTTCTTGTTTTTTTTTTATTTGAAGCGATTTGATCGCGCAAATGTCTGGCAAGTCGTATTGCTGCCGTATGTATGATTAGCATATTCAGTGTACAATCTCCTATCAGCACATTTGCCTTGTAGTAGCGCTGGATGTTAGAACTTGGAGAGACTTCGGTGGCATTTGAACCGGAAACTCTTCAAAATGGTCAGTCGGGTAACGTTACGCAAAACTTCTTCGACGATGTTAACCTGAAGGTGAGCTTTGATGCCTGCATGTCATGCCTTTCGTTGATGTATTCAAATAGCAAGCGACGCTAGGCCTATAGATCTGTTTTTGAAGCTTTTGAAACATTTAATGAAAATGGAAATGTTTTACTGATTTTTGAACTTTCGTAACTTTTTTTTCGCGTTCAAGTTCATTTTAGATTAGTATTGGCGTTGTGACGCAATCAGCTTATTTCTAGATTTGCACTGTTCGAAATAATGGCTCATTGGGAATAACTGCAAAATCGTTAGCTGTTAATGATGTTATATCTGCACGGTAAGCCATGTTACTTCACTTTTCCTTCTTTCTTTTCCTGTTGTTAACCAAGAATCTCACGCTTTTACAGGACGAAAGATCGAGGGCCTCCTGGTTTGATGAAACTTTCCCCAAATGGAAAACTAGCTATCCTTCAGCGGCAGATTAATTCGGTGGTACGCGACTCGTACACACTTTCTTCGTAGTTGCATATTATATCTATTCAGGATATTGTGCTGTTAGAGAAAACCGACGGCACGACGGCTGTTGAATTCAATGTTGCAACCAAATCTCGAGATATGATACTTAGCGTAGATTGGATAAGCAATAATCAGGTAAGCAATCAAGATCGTACTTTATTATCCATCTTTATCGTATACTGTCCTTCCCGAAGTTTCTTTTCTATTTGAAAATCAGTCACTAGCTGGTTACTGTTGAAAGGTGCCACAATAGCAAATGAAAGCTCGAAGATTTTTCTCATAACGCAACTTCAGATTCTGTTTGTAACGAAGCAGTCACTGGAATTGTTTGGTTTAAATGAAGAAAAAAGGACAGGTAAAGTGCTGCGGACGTCAAATGTATCAGCTTCTTGGTCTATATATTACGTGAGTTTGCAAGATCTTAGGTGTTAATTCCAATGTTTACGGTCCTGTGGCATTTAGGCTAAATCAAGCTTAGTTATTATCGCAACGGGTAGTAATTGCACAACCTTACAACCATTTCTTGTTCAACACGGGCAGTTTACTAGATTAAAGGTGAGCTAGGCTGCTTTTTTGATACAGAGTGCTTGTGCTGTATTGATTTAAAAATTTCACTGAAGTTTTTTTT